AATAGTTTCTCTTTTAATCTCTAATTAATATAATTCTAAAGCAAATGATTATACACATTTATAAAAATATAGTTATATAAGGATACCATGTAAAATTAAGGAAAGTTTCAAAGTTTCCTATAAATCTTCTAATAAGGTCCATTTTAAGATAGATGTATTAGTGAATCACAAAGATTTTGCTAATTATCATATAGTCTAATTGTAAAATAAATATGAGAACTGAAGAAATATTTTACTAAGCTCTTTAAAATATTTCAAAATGAGTAGGATTTAATTACATGCATCTTAACTGGTAATTTTCCTTAAAATGTACAAATACTGTGCTGAAGAGAAAGCAAACTTGGACTCAGAAAAAAATACATTCTGTGAAGTAAAGCTCTGGGAAAACTAAGTGATCTTTGTCATGAGTGGATACTGAAAAATTACAGCAGTTAAATAGCTCTGCATAGAAACTGGGAATTTAAAGTTTTATCTCAAAAATGCAATTTTTTCCTGGTTGACTAATAAACAGAAAAAAGATGTCAAATGAGATGGTATTAGAGACAACAAAGCTATAAAATTATATGGAAAGATTAAGATTCACTCAGTTTGCAAATTTTCAATAAAAACTTAAGATGCAATTGAGTCACATCTAGTACATGAAGGCTGATTATTTTGATGCACAGAATTTAACTGCAGCAACATAGGAAGCACAACTAAAAGTCAGATGATACTGTTTGTTACATTTTTTTTTTTTTTTTGGTAGTTAGCAATGCTGATCTGCAAACATTTCTGTGCAACAAAGTTAAAACATTTCCCTAAAACCTACACTTTTGGAAAGTCTGGAAGCTTTTGTTAAAGTAAAACTGTACACATTCAGTATGGAAAATAAGCACAGACTAGGTTCACATAGTATGTTCTCTTACTTGTTTTAAAAAATTTCAAAACTCTAGGTAATTGATTTAAAAATACTTAACTATATCTTACGTAAAATGAATATTCATATTATGCTTTTGATATCACTTAAAATTTACTCATATATGTTACAGAACAATTGCAGATCAGAAATGCCCTATTACCAGAATGATAAAAATACAAAAAAAAAAAAAAAGAAAGAAATGAAAAAAGGAACAAAAACTGGTTAAAACACAAACTGGGAAAACTCAAAATTCAATTAGTGAAAGTTTAGGTGACCAAGAGCAAAACATTGAATGATTAAGGCACAGAAAGCCAGAAAAACCCATGTCAGACGGCAAGAATTTGTATTTTTATGCACATCTACATATATTGCCAAATATCATTAGAAGTTTCCAATGTTTTGAAAAAATAGTGCCTGTTAAAATGAATTCACTCTGCTGCATGTTTCTCTTAATATACAATATAGACTTTAAAAGACAAAGGCATATCTTTGACCCATAGCCCATCTCTATAATAGCATAGTAATCACAGTTCTGTGAGTTTTACCAGAAACGGTTTTTGAACAGCAGTACTATATTTACAGGTATACGAATTTGTCTCTTGTTTATCTAAACACTGGATTAATGCTAAAAATTAATTATTCTGTAAAAAGATACATTATATCAAACTTCTAAGTTATTTTTCAAACATTGTAATTCTTCCTAAAAATATTTGAGGATATGTATGAGTATAAAAAATTCTATAGGAATCAATAACCAACCTACTCACTCTTTTATCCTAACCTGCTGAGTGCAATTTCACGAGCACTAAAGTAGTAATTACTAAGATGCAGGTGTATATTAATATCACATATTACAGATTAGTTGAAACAGTTATTTCCCAACCTGAGTTGAATACTACCTATAGGAGACCAGAGGTACTTAAGTGCTTGAAGATCATGCTTTTATGACTTAGCAGACACACATGTTTGCGGTGAAGTGTGAAATTTCAAGGTAGGTATAAAAGATCAATCTTTTATTGCCTCAATTCAATTTACCACTAATATTATCTTGAAATATTTGCTAGACATAATTCATTTTGGCATGAAACTCAAAATATTACTGTATTTTGGAAGATCCTTCCCAAAACGTGAGTCTGAGTCAAGTATTTTTTCATTCCCATTCCAGTTCACCATTGAAGAGTTCAAATGAATAGATGTGAGTCCAAGACTTTGTGATCTCATAGTACATGTGAAACGGTTTTCTTTCGAGTCAGAATTTCCTAGATTATTTTTTTTCTAAATATAAGGTGATTTCAAATAACACTTCCTCATCATTAATTGTTATTTTAGTATACCAGAAACAGTTCTAGGCAAAGGAAAAATTATCTTTTCAATTTTCTTAAGAATTTCAGTTAGAATATAAACGTATTTGTAAAATAATACAAAAATCCTAAGAGTGTACCATCACCATCCCTACACTAGACTTAGAGAATTTTCCCTATCTATTACAGACTTAAGAAACATATAGTAGTTAGGGTATGACTTAGAGAGTGATAAGTGAATCAAAACAAGATACAAAATTTGTAGGTATTTCTCTTTTTAATTATCTTAGTGGAAAGAAAACATCATCTGTCCCACAGTCTCTGAAAAAAATCTATTGCTCTTTGTGTTTGGGTTCCTTTATCACTTATCTCAATATTGATGTTTCTCGGGGTGTCATTCTTGGCCCTTTTCTCTTCTCCAGTGGGATGATATTCACCCTGTGATTTTTGACTATCACAAATACTCTAAAGACTCAGAAATCTTTTAAATCCCTTTCTCAACACACAGACATACCCAATTATCTCTTGGACATGCCCATTTGAATGTCTCATAGGTCTTCAATTTGATAGTATTTAAATGATTTCATCATCTTCCTCTCAAATTTGGTCTTTCTCCTGCAATCTTTCGATAATGACATCACCATCTACCCAGTTGGTCAAACAGGAAAAGTTGGAGATTACTCTTCCTTTATCCTTTGCTTTACTCTCCCATCAACTAAATGTTGAAGCCATATTGATCCCAGTCCCTTAACAACTCCCTAAATAGCCATTCATCTCAACTATCTTTGTAATTGTCATAGTTCAGACCTTTAAGACTTAACATATAAATTTCTACAATAACCTGCTAC